AGCGAAAGGGATCGTCTTAAACATTTTGTTCAAGAAGAACCCGCAGACTCCATCATGTCGTAACTGGCGTTTGGGTGTTAGTAAACCCTATCACAGTTACCTATTAAATATGCTCGTTCCACATTGTTCGGGGAGATGGTAGCTCTGGCGCTCCACTCGCTTGGTCCGTTGCAGGATGCTAAGTCAAGGCGTGAGGGTTCGGACGACCGTGACTCCTAATTAACCACATAACATTCATGTACTGGCACACATACATTCAAAGATAAACGCAACACCAAGTTTATACTCACATAGTTTTTACTCTGTCTCAGTCCATCTCTCTAACTACAACTTCAACATCAGACAGGGCAGGTTCGTACCACACGGGGCAACTGAGCGGCGTGGACTGGCTTCCGTCACTAAAAAGCGCGCACCACTCGCTCAGTGCCCAACCTGTCTTTTTATATGGTTCGAGCCTGGCCTGATCTTGATCACATGTTTCAACTAATCATTTTGATTCGGTTAGCCTGTATCCGACCTTGCACTCATGAATATTACGATTGGAAAAGTACCGGTAAGAATCGTTCGGTCACTCACCCCTTTGTTGTTTGTTTCAATTTAAGATTAATCTGTTATGTCTTTCAACAGAATGTGTTCTGTCTCTCTTTCCATAGCCTACGGCTAAACGCCATTCTGTGGAAACTTTCCGTCTCCATACCGTGCCTAACCGTTATGACTCATGAGCAAACTGCAAATCTAAATACGAATCTGATGTAATTCTCTCATGGTTTTGGGGATGCATTTTTACCTTATAACAGTAGCGACAACTACCCGGACGGCGGGACAGCGACAGATATTATTTTCATCGTGTCCTCAAACCCCGTCTCGACACTATAGTAGTCAGGCTGTACCGATATGTCCGACACCTAGTAGGCATACTTCACCTGTATGTTCAGTTTGTACAAGGTGTCCTCAAACCCCGTCTCGACACTATAGTAGTCAGGCTGTACCGATATGTCCGACACCTAGTCAAACCCCGTCTCGACACTATAGTATTCAGGCTGTACCGATATGTCCGACACCTAGCAGGCATATTTCACCTGTATGTTCAGTTGGTACAAGGTGTCCTCAAACCCCGTCTCGACACTATAGTATTCAGGCTGTACCGATATGTCCGACACCTAGTAGGCATACTTCACCTGTATTTTCAGTTGGTACAAGGTGGTCTACAGCGAGCACTGACTGACTGACTGAATTTAGTTTTACGCCGCTTTTAGCAATATTCCAGCAACATCACGGCGGGGGACACCAGAAATGGGCTTCACACATTATACCCATGTGGGGATTCGAACCCGGGTCTTCGGCGTGACGAGCCAACGCTTTAACCACTTGGCTACCCCACCGCCCCTACAGCGACGAAGTTCTCTGTGCATAGACATGATACGCTTATCGTGGTAACGATGCCCAGAGTTCATCACTCACTCACTCATGCTGGAATGAGATTTAGACACCCCGTTGTAATGTATGAGACGCGGTAAATACACCTTTTTTTAGGAGGTAGTCAAATGTATTATAAAATTATGTAATATTAAGGATTACACTTTCTTTTTGGTCTCGGAGCCCGTTTTCTTGAGCATGAAAGGGAAATTGTCTCCGATCACCACTATACCCACGGATACGCAAGCTAGGCTATAGCAAGGATACTGTGGTCAAAGCGGCTTTAAAACAAGCTTATCTACTGACCCTAGTGATGCCGAATGGCCACTGATTAACAACATGGCCCATTGTTATACAACGTGCATGTCTCACTGTGACAAGGTCAGTGTGTCAACGAGGATATGAATATGTATACAATGTACTGAAAGGCAAAAAAACGTCGCTGGAGATTGTGTTATCAAGTGGTTTCATTGTAACGTTCCCTTGTGCGACGCCAGATACTAGCTCTCCCATCAGCCACTGAAAAGCAGTACCGACTTTCATCAGAGACGGTAACCCGTCTACATTGTCTCCTACGCAAGTTTTGCCGCTGTTGTGCCCACTGGAGACGTTCCGAGCGGTGCCGTTGGGTGATTATGGGTCCCCTGGCAGAACGTCGACAAAACAGGTTCCTGGCTTGGAGACGACGCCGAATGGTTCGGTCACTGACTGGTCGCTGGTGGTTTCCTATGGTCACACGAGCTGTTTCTGTGGCCCTTGCGAATCTGCCTTGCAGGTGTTGATGGACGATATGACGGTATTGGCGACATGTTGTTAGACGGGGTCGACCACTGCGAAGACGGTCATCAGTGCTGTTGGTGGCGTTGTATCGCCGTCTAAGACGCTCTGTCGTTTGTACGCTGCAAATGAAGTCACTAGCAATGACTCGAGCACGTTGGCCAGCGTGTACACGTCCAAAGGCTTGTTGTCGTTCATCTCTCGTTAACCTAGCCATACAGCTGCTGTGTTCAGAAAACAAGTGAACGATTGCCATTCACGCCGGCAATTTATGCCTGAATGCATGCATGATGCACGTGCATCTCGATTCCAGTGTTGTGTTTGTGTGTTTGTGGACTCTTCTCTGTCCACAAACACAAACATTTCTAACCTCAATGGCAAACAATACTTTATTGGGCAAAACAGTTGGTAGGACCACGATTCATATTTTCCTCAAACTTGACTTCCGGTGTCTATTTAAAAAAAATTCAAATACTCCATTGATGCTTAAATGTCATTTCCAATATTACGACGATTCTTTTGCCTTTCAGTATATAAATGTCAGAGTCCACACATCCCGGGCACTGTTGCATTTAGGGAACAACAATTAACTATTCTGGAGGGAGCATTGTTGGGACAGTCACTTGGATCCTACAAACATGTTTTCTGCTCTGAAAAGAGAAAATTACAAATATTTTGGACCCAAAACACATTATATTCCAGAATATCATGCAGCGATGCTTTTTGTAGATACTATATAACATTTCGCTTACTCTGCAGAGTTACTCGCCTTAGACATTCGAGGATCAGATATTTTAGGGTTTTACAAACAAATAAACAAACTTCTGAGAAATGTGTCCCTTTACAACTTAGATAGGAATGTGTTTTAATGACTCGTGTAGACAGCGTGTAAATGTCAAACTAGGTCAGAAGTGTTTTGCATACAACAGTGCAAGTAGATTACGGCAATTTCTGATTAGGTATTCATTTTTTGTAATATCCATTAACAGTTATGGAGCTACACGCTGTCCACTCTACAAACAGCTCGTCTATTTGAATGATATTTTAATGGGTATGAGGTTCGGCATGTGACTACTTCTAGATCGTCTTTGTAAGTTTGACGGGTACACCAGGGTATGAACTACTGAAAACAGTTGGCCACATTGTTCACATCCGCGTTAAGTTCAGCAACAGTCGGACCAGTGTTAAAACATCTACACAGCGAAATATATCCCATACTTATTATGTGATTCCCCATGTTTTTGGAGTCTATGCTCACAGGCAACATAACCTATGGGCAATGATATTGACATGTACACCTACGTCTTTCAGTTCCAGGTGTTTGGAATGTGTGGTCATGACATAAAGTATTTCCATGTTTTCGGTTTGGTTTGGTTTGTAGTTTTACGCCGCACTCCGCAATATTCCAGCTGCATGGTGGTGGTCTGGAGTCTGGACCAGACAATCCAGTGATCTCGCGTAGTGCCGTGACCTACTTACGGGCCCTATTACACCGAAAGTTACCAATTTTTAGAAAATAAGTAACTTCATTCTTTTCTTTTCACCAAAGAACAAAATTATATAAATGATGAAAAATTATTACATTATGAAGAAAATAGCAGAGTGTCCACCACTCGGCCTGAAGTGCCTGAAATCAACAATGATTGTGTGCCGAGAAATACAGTTTTCATTTGCGGTCTTTTTATTTTGGGGTACATGAACTACTTTAAGTTCATATATTTATAAAAAGCTGAGCATTCAAGCATTGCATACATTATTCAAAGGCACGTAAATCCTACTTTTTATATAGTTATTGCAAGTAATATTTGGTTATGTCGCTATGCTACTCTCCCGTCGAATGGGTTCGACGGCAGCACTGAAAGGATTAAAGGGTCGCGAGGAAGCAACTTGAGATATCCTGTGATTGTTCCAGTGGCGCTTAGTGACCGCTCCCCTTTCTTTATGTCAAACATTGTTTCAGTACCCGCAGCCTTCGTGTCTACAGCTCTCAATGGAGAGTGTTCTTTCTTTGATCGCCACACGAGTCTGGTGTAAAGGTTGTTTGATCAGGGATACAATATTCAAAGCATCATGAATGTTTTAAGAATGGATCATGGAGAACGTGTGAAGAACATTTCCAAATTTGACGAATAATTATGTCCGATTCAGTTTCTTATTTTGACTTCGTTGTCAGATTATCCCATAGTAAGATATCGTCTCTGTGTAATTATTGACGTGTTACAATGAGTCACTGAGTCAATTATTTAGTAATGTGTAATTAGTAACCTGTCTTGAAAGAGACATTCACTCTACGTCACTGGTGTCCTGTGTGTCTACAGCATAAACAGAGAGGGGTTTGCTTTATTGCGTGACAAATGATACAAGAGTTGGTCCGAGCCAAGGATCTATTTCAGACAAGATAGTCATAACCATACTCATAATAGTCATAACAATGACGTCGTATATGACGTATACACCGGTATCATTCGTTTATTCGGGCAATTTCACAATCTCTCTTACAAGGGCACGTCCCACAGACTTTCTTTCGCACATGCGTGTAATTTGATTGGACGTTTGTTTTAGCGTCGTTTCATTTCAATCAGACACTTGTCATTTAAACTGCTAGTGAACACTTAAGAGGACACTATTATGTATTAAATCATGAGAAGTGTTACCGTATATGAACACACCCAAACATCACCTGACTGCTTCTCCTTGACGATGTTAACCTCTAACACTGGAAGAAAGCCCGTCTTTGTTTCAACTCTATGTGTTATCTGATAGCGTTTGAGTGGTGCAACTTTCTGTGAGCTTACGTTTGTATATTCTAGTGTTATAAGATAGTGTTTGCATTCTGCTGTATAGGGTTGTCTGTTTCAGGCACACTCTATACATTACAAAGGACCCGCTTCGAAGACAGGTCAGTTTGTTTGCAACAGTGTCACGTGCAGGTTGCGCCTTGTATGTAAGTAACTTACTTATTGTCGTGTGTTTTTGCTTTTATTCAAAACATCATGCCATTAAGGCAGACTTAAATAGTTTTAACATGAAACGTGATTTGACTTGAATACAATATCAGATTAATAGAGTATTTCACCCAGAACGTGATACTGAATATAATTAATAACAGCATTAATAACCCATTTCTGGGTACGATATCTGTAGTGTTTTACGTGTGGTGTGTATACGTGTGTCTGTATGTAGAGGCGTGTGAGCGTGCATATATGCATGCACGCATGCACGTACGTACGTTTGTTCCGTACGTATGCCTGTATATATGTCATTCAATCAAGCAAGCAAGCAATGTCCAAACCACTGACCTCATTCAATTACTGTGTCCAAATTTAATCGCTTTAATTCATGATCATAGGGATGGGATTACGCCGTAACCTTTGACAGGTTTGAGTTGAAATTGAAAATCACAGAGAGAGAAAACAAATGAAGAATATAAGCACACTTAACGTATGTTTATCGAATAATTGTATCGTCAATAACAGTATCATCATCTGATCAGCTCAGACATTGCCTCTAATTCGAGTAACGTTTCACCTCGGGATTTAAATAGACCGTTTAATTTGACTTTGACGGAAAATAGAGTTTTAAGAGCTGTAAGGCTTAGTTGACAAACAAACAAAGCGATATTTTGACGTCTTCTATCAAATAGGCCAGATTACCAGAACGCAAAACTCGTTTTGATGAATGCTGTTTGGGGTTACACCATTACAACGGCCAGATTGTCTAATCTCAGCAGCACGGGTTCAGTGTTTCGGAGCAAGTTGGAATTCGTCAATAAGGAGATAAATCTGTTTAAGACTGGAGGCAGTCTAATGGTACATTTCAAACCTCTTACTTAAATTTGGAACCCAGCGCTTTAGCGTGATGTTTCAAATGGCTCAATAAGGTATCTCCTCTACAGATACAGTTACTCTACTTACAATTTTAAAACTTAGAAGGTTTACCTCTGTTCTACCATGACGACATAGACGCTCACTAGGAAGGCGCACTCACTCAGAGGCAAACTGGTTATCTGTCTCAGAACGAGCGGATGAGTGCAGTTCTTACACACATAAGTGTTTTTACTCTAGTGAAGACAATGTCACATCACTCACATTCTTGACTGGTTCAAACTTCAGATTTCAAATAAAGATTTTCAAAGAGAATCAAAAGCTGTCGCATATTTGCAAGATAGGGCACAGCCGAGTCAATTCGTGGAAATATACGTGACTGCTTCCAATTTGAAAAATTCTTTTCGTGCAGACGATTCCATCTGGTCACGTACTAGTTATAACTAGTCGCATATTGCAATACTTCTCTTACCTGAGTGAAAGTTTGAAATCAATTTCTTCATGTCACTGAAAATACGATACCTGACTTTAGCCTTAGACCATTCTTGTTTCGGCTTGGTACAGGGCGACATAAGCAGCTTCCGACTTTGTACCCCATATTTACTAGAATCATGGGTAAATTTTATGGAATTGAATTTAGAGTTTGGATTGGAATATAAATGCTTTATATTCCAACTTCAAGCTGTTATTCTGATTTTCTTACATATTAGATCGAACTGGAAACATGCCCAAGATGGCGACGAACTTCCTGTCGCGCCTGCGCACATTGCCTGTCCGCGGGGTGCTGACTGTGATTGGCGGATTCCTGATTCATAGCACCATCAGCACCGGATACATCTTTGGTAAGTCGGTCGTGTGGAGGACAAGTATTCCTCTCACCGTTGGTCCAAATATTGAAAAAATAGTTTATAATAATTGAAATGTTATTATACCAAACCCAGTAATGCTGTTCCAGAACAAAACAGTCGTGTATGTTGCACGAGTCAGTGTTCATTGACTCGTGTTATCTCGTTGTTCAGTTAACAGTTATGGCGAAACTATAGTTCGACCAATGGCAACAGGAGCAAATGTCGAACACAGAATGATATTACAACATAAACATCGCTATAGCAAGACAGGGACAGGAAACAATAACACACATTCATATGCCAGGGTATATACAATATATTACATATATAGCTATCGCTGATAGAGCAGAACGTATGTAAGAGCCATTACTGACACAACAGAACGTAAATGAGTCATCACTGATAGAGCAGAACAAATACCAGAACCTTCACTGATAGAGCAAAACACGTACCAGAACCTTCACCGATAGAGGAAAACATACACCTGAACCTTCACTGATAGATCAGAACACATACCAGAACCTTCACCGATAGAGCAGAACATCTACCAGAGCATTCACTGATACAGCAGAACACATTCCAGAACCGTCACTGATAGAGCAGAACACATACCAGAACCTTCACCGATAGAGCAGAACATCTACCAGAACCTTCACTGATAGAGCAGAACATCTACCAAAACACATACCAGAACCGTCACTGATAGAACAGAACACATACCAGAACATATACCAGAACCTTCACTGATACAGCAGAACATATACGAAAACCTTCACCGATAGAGCAGAGCAGGTCCAAGAATCAACACTAATGATACTGCAGAACACCTTCCAGAACTTTCACTGACAGAGCAGAATATATACCAAAACCTTCACTTAAAGAGAAGACCATACACCAGAGCTTTCACCGATATAGCAGAGCACACCGGAATCTACCCCATAATGCAGAAATCTCATCAATGGAGCGGATTATTTATAATCCTACAGTGATGGAAGGAGTGTTTAATATCATTTTCACATTAACAAGTTAACCATATACATATGAGTAAAATGTCGACATCTTCAGTATAAAGTGTCAAATAAATGGGAGAACGTTCTTTTTGTAATGGCACGTTCACTTATTTTCTTTCCGTCAGTACATACACGATCACTTCCCTTGTTTCCAGGCAACATGACACCCTATCTGACGTCATACCTGCGTGCCAGAAGTGGGTCGACTGACGCTACGTACCCAGAAACTGTTTGGATCTCTACAGCGAACTATTTGACCTTGGCATTTTTTATGCCCATATTAGGCTGGATAGAACAGAAACTGACTCCCAGAATTTGTACGCTGATTGGTGGACTTATCTTCAGGTATTCTTCCATAACTGTTGTAAATTTTAAACATTAGTAGTATAGGGGCCTTTATGGCATCAAAATCTATTTTTAGAATAGCCCCCTGGCAAACAGGTTATATTTAGAATAGGATCATTATGGTATCAAAATCTATATTTAGACCATGAGTCATATCAACATCTGGTGTTTCTATTTTTAGACCATAAGTTATGTTTCTATTTTTAGACTCAGGTGGGTAATATAAGGTCCCCCGAACAGCCCTCCATATCATACACAGCTCAGTCTCTGAAGCAATTATACCTAGTGATTACACATTGTGGATATACATACTGGTGTAGTTCTTATTGGATTACTAAACAACCTTGGATTATACTGTGTGATTCACTGGATGTATATTTTCAATAGCTCAGCCTCTCAACTACACATCTCTGGAGTGACTACACATTGTGGATATACTACCAGTGTATTTCTCTGTTATCTCAAAGCGAGCGCCCGTTATCGCAGTATCAATTACCCACCCCCTCCTTCTCTCCCCACACATTAACCTCGCCACCTAGCCAATGTGTAATGTGACACCTCCTCAAGCTGATAATCTTAGGTCTAATGTGAAACGAAATTACACGGGTAGAGTTTACAGGTTTTATGACACACTTGTTAAAAGCGACATAGATTAGCGTTCATTTACCGTCTGACTAAATATAACTATAACTATTGAAAATGTGAAATTCAAATGTATACAACGTCCTACCTTCAGTCCTTACATTGTAACACAGAATACATCGTAACACAGATTAAGATTTTCATCATCATCAGATTGAACGAGTGTTGGGGATAAAGACTATTCTAGTGTACATGAAGTCAACTTACCTCTGTTCATCATATCCATATGAATGACATCAGGGAATAACACATCCATAGGTTCCATATTCATGATGTTTTGTTGGGTATGACAAGACACTCATTCAAGTGGAGACAACATATTGATTCACACTGTTCTCCAACTATGAATAAGACATTTGCCCACCCATGACTCCGATGTAAACACAAAATATATAACAAACATTTTCCTATAACAGTACTCAACCATGCATGCACAAGCGTAAAACTAGGTCCCCCGCCGCCATTTTGAACAAAAATGATAAATAAATAGATTTGAACAAATAACAAAGTCCTAGCCATGCCTGCCGATGAAAAAAACTGAGTAAAATGTTGAAACTCATAGCAAAATCACACACAGCATGCTTCTCACCAAAATATCCCATGTAGAACGAGTCACCATGAACCTACTTTAAAATCCAACATAATCATATGAATAAACACAGCCCGATACACACACAGAATACAACCTATAGAAAATTGATTACACATTACTCCCATTTGCCATGAATCTTTAAATCTCACACAATAAACACAGTCCAATCATAGTCAGAACCTTTTCCTAGGTTCATCGTTTTTCTAAACTATAGCTTGCATAAAACCAAATTTAGTGTATAGATGTACTCGCATAGTCAACATACAGTTGTGTACTCACGATACTTTGACAGTCGTCAACAACATTATTCACACAATACGTTCATACGCAAAATACTCACAAATTAGAATATAGAATGATCCATCACATAAATTCCACACCTACTGTGCTGTTTTAAACAGTCATGAAACCGCCAGAATACCTAAACACGCACAGCACAACATACTGGCTGCACATGGCGGTGAACAAAGAGTATTTAAGCTTGGCGCCAACAGCCCCGACCTAAAACCGGTTCTGTCAAACCGGTTCGCAAACGGTTCTATCAAACCGGTTCGAAAACGGTTCTGACTCAAAATGGCTACATGTCCAAAACGGCCTTGTAGACCAAAACGGCTTACAACACAAGTGACCATTTGTAATAGCTTATGTATTTATAAACCAAAGTATCGTGAGTACACAACTGTATGTTGACTATGCGAGTACATCTATACACTAAATTTGGTTTTATGCAAGCTATAGTTTAGAAAACTATAGAGATATATATATATACATATATTCATTACAGATCATTAAAATTGTTGTTATCTTGTATTCAATACAATGAACTGAAACACTTGTTATCTTCAATACAATGAACTGTAACAGTTGTTATCTTGTATTCAATCAACAGGAATGACGTTTAAACTGAAACTTGTATGTCTGATAATAGTATGAGGAGGTTAAAATTTCTGTGGATTCAGTGAAATAGGGTTGAAATTGGTATTATAAAAACCAAGAATTGTACAACAGTTGTCTTATGTCAGTCCTTCAGCAATACATTAAGTGAGTTTAGTACACTCTCAGGAATAGTCCAACTCTATGGCGGTGGTCTGTACATAATGTACATAATCGAGCCTGGACCAGACAATCCAGTGATCAACAGCACGATCGTCATTCTACACAATGCACCATGTGTCAACCAGCGAGCCTGACCATCCGATCCCGTTAGTCGCCTCTTACAACAAGCATGGGTTACTGAAGGGTAACCCAGACCTTCATGGGTACAATACATTAAGAAACAAGAGAGATATACAGATTTCATTGTTTATTAGCTCCGTTTCAAATGAGTAGACATTAGGATAGGAGCTCTCCCAAATGCCTACTTTACATCTGTTGTCTTATTACCCTTCCTCATCGACCTGTCCTTCACTGTCTTCATCAGATGTTATGTCTTCATCTTCAGTCACGCCTTCGACCCAAGACTTATATTGGTACAATTTTGAAATCACTTCATGATACATATTATTTGTGTCTTTTACTTGTTTCAGTATTCCTTGTGTCTTTGGGCCATACTGCATATGGTACAGATAAGTAATAAATCGGGCATACATCTCTTTAAACGTGCTCCAGATCAATTTGTTCAGTTTGGCTTGAATCATGTCTTCGTTTAAACCTCTTTTCATGTACAGCTGTCGTTTCTCATCCAAAAAGTCTTTATTCAGCTCACGCGTACGTGAATACATTTGTCTTATACCTTGCTCTTCAAGATCAGCCATCTTATTTTTCCTGTTGTGTGTGACATTGCTTAATGATTCAACATCATCATCCTCATTTTCCATTTCAGGACATGGTTTATCGTGTAAATGTCTTTGTAGGTTATGGTTAGTGCTAAACACTTGACCACAATAGTCACAGTCCAACAGAGGACGTGGTCTCTTCACAGGTGAGAAGTTGTTGTCCTCCTCCCACTGCCTTTTCACTTGGGGTATCCCAGGAGGACCCACTGAAGACTTTTCGGGACACCAGTTTCTTCTGTGTTTTTGCAAATCCTGCACGTCTTGAAACATGAGTCCACAGTCATCACAAGATGGCATGGTTGAGAGGTTTTCTTCACACGTCTGCTCACGCTGAACATCTAACTCGGACTGAATTGTCCTGGCTTGGAGGTGTCCTTTTAAACTGAATGCATTGGGACAAAGTCGCATATGGGGAGGTGTTTTGGGTTTTAGATCAACCAACAAGCTTAGTAGCCATAAGGCTTCTGGGTAGCCCTTTGAAACGGCTCCATGAAATGGTCTGTGTTACCTGGATACATTTGCCTCGCCAAAGTCATGATGGGTTGTTGATCGATAGGGTTGTTGAACAGAAGCAGATAATGACAGTTTCTTCGTTGTGTGGGATCCTTACTGAAATACAAATTCTGGTTCAAGGCAATCACTGAGAGATTACGATGATGACTTCCTTCCGTAAACAGATCTGTAATGCGTGGATCTTTGCTCGCTGTCGACATTAAGTCATCTAGGATAACCACGTTCACCACATGGGGGTCCAGAAATGCATCCTTTTCGAGATCAGAAGGAATGCCTTGATGAAATTCCACATAGGGATAAACATGGGTTTGAATGGCATTATACAAGGGCTGCCATCGTTTGTAGAGCCATATAATACGTTCAGGATAAGGTTTAATGTTCATCCTTTCTAGAATCTGTTTCACTAAGTAGGTTTTCCCACAGGAGGTTGGCCCTGAGACGATCATGGTGAATGGATGTCACAGCCTATATTCTTCCAATGACTGGGTAATACTTTCTGATGAATGTGGTTGCACTGGTTGCTGCTGCTGCTGCTGCTGTTGCTGCTGCTGTGGTGGTGGTGGTGGCGGCTGCTGCTGCTGCTGCTGCTTGATATCTTTTGGATGTTTTGTTCGAATATGACGGGACAAGTCATGAGCCCAAACATATTGTTTGGAGCATACGGGACAGGGATGCATAATGATGTGCACACGTCAACAGTCCTACTACAAATGACACATTTAGCCTTTCGTCTCTATTTAAAAATATGTTTTCATTCGCTTTGTGTTTTCCCTATTGACGACACTTTCCCTTTCTCTCTTCAACTTGGCTTTAGCTTGTTCGACCACTTGTTGAGTAGGGGTAACAAAATTAATCTTAGGTTGTTCTGAGGTTTCTTTCGGTTTATCTTTCTTCCACTCTGGGTCATACAGTTCCAAATATCGATCGACAGACATCATGGCAGATTTTTCTCCCCCACGTGTTATAGAATGATAAGGGTCTCCTTTCCCTTCAGCCCTGAGCATGTAAAATCGTGTCCATTTATCGGCATCGGGTACGAAGAGTTTGTATTGTGGATTATTCATGATGAAAACGGGAGCAGCTTGAGGTGATGCGTCACTGTCACTGGTCCGAGGCTAAATAAAGTTAGATAGCCCTTGTGGCCTGTTATACAGATATCTTCATTGACCTTGGGCTTGGTGTAGCTTTCAACATCGCTGCCAGGATGGTTTGGATGCACTACTATGACAAACTAAACCGAGTGAACCAAACATACTAAGCCAATGCTCTATCAAACAACCAGGCATTTTGAATGGCCTCATCTCTAAGTGCATTGACAAACTGTGGTTTCAAAACAAATGCTACGATTGGCATGTTACTGGCAAAAAGACTCTTCCACATACTGTCTGTCGTCCACAGGGGGTGAACTAATCTTCGTAACACCGCTAGATAGTTATTTCTATCATTTTTCCTCAGGAAACGACGCCTTTCATATCGAGTCACTGGTAATCTTCCCTTTAATAACCTATTGATAATACCATTGATGGTAAGAATCTGTTCTCTGTTCATTTCTAAGATGTCTTGTCGAATCTCCTCAATGTCTTGAAACATTAACATGAACCTTAAAAATTCGTAATGTTTCAACACGTACCTAGCCATACTATTTCTAGCAAACAAACTCTTATCGTGGTTGGGATCTCAGTGAGATTAGTATTTGAGTAAACCTCTATTTATACTATACATAGACAACCAAGGCAGACATACTCTTAACATTGATTTATTTCCAATAGTCACACATTTTACATCACACTCTTGGTTGCAAATCCACATGACTACCCCAACGGGCCACTTCTTTCTGAGGTACTCCCACCAGGGCCAAATATGGACAGTCTGGAGACCATTTTTCATGTTCGACCCAGGGATCATCATCTACTTCCCAGTTCTTGAGAACGAGACCACATTGAAAACACTTGCAAGCATCCCCTCTGATTAAGTACACAAATCCTGCCTGAGCCATGTGACTAGGACTCTGTTTCATCTGCACTGGCCAGTCTTTAAACGAATCGAGTCTTTTCTGGAATGAAGTCCATTCAGTCTTGATTGCACAGCAATCGGCAACGACAGTCTTGTCGAATGGGTAATGTCCACACACATCCATGATATCCCAGACCAATGGTAACACGTCCGCACAGTACAGCGTCTAAACCAAGAATGGCTTTACACCCAGTAACTGTAGTCACTAGGGTAGCAAAAGGAACACTGGAGGTATCCCATCTGGTTTTGATGATCGTCCTGAAGCATACAGGGTACCATGTCCTTCAGTTCTGGCACAAAGTCAAACATGACTCTTACACAATCTACCAGCTTTTCCCACTGATCTAGGGACAACAGAATACATTGGTTGGTAGGTATCACTCTACCACTTTTCTGATCATTCTCCTACTGTCGCACATCAATACCATTGTCGTCCCAGGAAGCGTACATGTTCCCTCCAACATGGACTTGTGAGTACCTTCCCTGCTGTTTCAGCTGTACGTGAACACTAGACACTTCCAGCCAGTGTTTCAAGGTAAGCACGATGCCTCGTTTGGTTGGGTAGCACTTGCCACTCGGGTATACTTCGTACTTCCTCACATGAATTTCTAGTTTTCCATTCCATGTCTTGGCTGTCACATAGACGTCGTCCCCTAGATGTAAATGGCATCTGGGATTTGGAAGTTTTACCAGGGCCTCGTTATCACAACTCAGAATATCACGGTGAACGGCTTCCATTTTCAAGGCCAATAGAACCAGTAGAGTCAAGAACATAGAATGGAGAAGGGACGTTGTCCGACTGAAGTCAGAATGATATGGAGGACTGTTCGGGGGACCTTATATTACCCATCAGAGTCTAAAAATAGAAACATAACTTATGGTCTAAAAATAGATTTTGACCTATAAAAGGCCTATTCTAAAAATAGATTTTGATGCCATAAAGGCCCCTATACTACTAACATTCGTAAACAGTTTCCACTTTGCAGAGGACTAGACTGGCTCAGTCGGTCAAGCGTCTGAATAGGCTGTGCAGAGCTACACTTTTTAGACTACCGGAAATCCATGATTGTGGATTCGAATCCTGTTTGCGCTGTTTCTTATGTTTGTGAGCATACCCATGTGTTTTATTATGGTGACATTCTGAGGCTTTCCCTCAACTACAAGCCGTAACAAACTGTAACACGCCGTAACAAACTGTAACACGCCGTAACAAACTGTAACATGCCGTAACACGCCGTAACAAACTGTAACACGCCGTAACAAACTGGAACACGCCGTAACAAACTGTAACACGCCGTAACAAACTGTAACATGCCGTAACAAGTTACCCATGCTTCAGCAATACGTAATATACTCTCTTCCAGTTCCGGTATGCTCATCACCTACTTCACCATGCAACATTCCCTCCTCTTGACGGCCTTGACCTATGGCATCATCAATGGCGCTGGGAAGAGTATGGCGTACCCTGGAGCTGTGAAATGTGCCCTCAAGGTCAGTTGCAAAATATTGACGTGGGAGGGACGAAAGAGTAAGGGAGGGAGGGACTCTCTCTTGTCAGCAATGTCGTGGACGTGAAACAACATCGTGTAAGAAAACTTTCAAAAGGGTTATTGGGCTGAGTGAAAGGGAATCTACGTTGGTGGTCAGTTTCAAAGGCATTGTATTGTGAAAGGCTAATGCATGTACGTGCTCCAGGTAATATAAGCTACTGGCATAAAGTAACTGTGCATTATGTGATGTTAGTATATTCTGAAGGATGTACGATGTAACACGAAATGCTATTGATTGTGCTTAGAAGAGGGAAATTTGGATCGTTGATTGTGCCAGATATATCTATGGTGATAATTGTACTTCCTGTTTTCAGTCAAGCTCCTTTGGCACAAACACTTTGAGCATTGCTTGTCAAAGGCAACTGAATGATATATGGATGGTCATGCTTGGTGATCGGGTTGACTGCATGCCATCATGGTGTCTTGGTTGACTGCGTGCCATCATGGTGTCTTAGTTGATTGTATGTGCTTTTGGTCGATTTTTGGTGAATTGGTCGATTACGTTACCCGTTACCCGATGAGTGAGTGACTGAGTTTAGTTTTATGCCACACTCAGCAATATTCCAGCTATATGTCGGCGGTCTGTAAATAATCGAGTCTGTACTAGACAATCCAGGGATCAACAGCATGAACATCGATCTACACAATTGGGAACCGATGACATGTGTCAACCCAGTCAGCGAGCCTGACCACCCGATCCCGTTAGTCGCCTTTTACGACAAGCATGGGTTGCTGAAGATCAATTCTAACCGAGACCTTCACGGGTACGTTACCCGATGACATGCACATTGTTCAAATCACCACTGGTTTGTCCACATCCGAGTCGACTCTTTTGTACAGACCGCCGTGATAAAGCTGCATGCTGCTGACTGAAATATGGTGGCCAGTTAGTGCGGGATGACTACAAACCATTCAGCCCGGGATAACCGGAAGTATCCATCCACACTATACAAACATCCTCTGTTTCAGTGGTTTCCCAACAGATCAGGTCTGGTGACAGGCATCATTATCAGTGGAATCGGGTTTGGAACCTTTGTGTTCAACCAGGTCGTCACGGCCTTCATCAACCCTGACAACTTCTCCCCTGATGAAACAATAAAAGATGATTTGTAAGTATTTCTTCAGTTTACCAAACCGCACCTTGAGACAGCTGGCATTCGCTTGCCAGGAAACAGTCTTTTCCCCTGACAGGGGATTGATGTTATGTGTGACGTGGAGTTCATGTATGGTTATTTGACCTACTTATAAACCTTCTGATACAGTAGACTGGACAGGTTCATCAGCCATCCTTACTTATACGTCAGGTCGTGGTCTTCCCTTGAGTTGACACTGTGGTAATTCTGTACGGTTATGTCAGCTTACACGACTATACGGACGGCTTTGCTTTTTCTGTCAACTAATTTCCATGCCATATGGTAATTCACGATGCTATTTAAGTTTCACACATGTATACATACTGCTGACAATACAAATAGGGGATCAGTGATTGTAGATGTGTTCGGTTCTGAACGACCGTGAGTTCTAATCACAATCACATCATGCCTGAATAGCATATGCTGCACACTAAAAACAAAGCATTTGCCTCTGAAGGGGAACTCACAATCACAGAGTTCAGCACGCGCAAAAATGACTCGAGAAAGTATTTTTATGAATATAAAAATGGAGATGTTAAAAAAAATGGAGAGTCGTGGGTACCAAAGAACGGTGTGGATAGGGTGCAGACTTCAATACCACAGTTGCCTGAATGTTGGGCAAAAGGAAAAGTGTAATTCTACTACTGTGGGACATGTAATGAGTGAGTGAGTTTAGTTTTACGCCGCAGTATATGTCGGCGGTCTGTAAATAATCGAGTCTGGACCAGACAATCCTGTAATCAACAGCATGAGCATCGATCTGCGCAATCGGGAACCGATGACATGTGTCAACCAAGTCAGTGAGCCTGACCACCCGATCCCGTTAGTCGCCTCTTACGACAAGCATGGGTTACTGAAGGCTCATTCTAACCCGGACCTTCACGGGTCTGTGGGACATGTAAGATCACTGGGATGAGGTGCACAATAAAACCCGACACACTTTTGAAAAGGTTCACGAGTTTCAGGACAAGAGGTCTGGAACCAGACCGTGATTTGTTTGATCCATTAAAGTTAGAAATCCATTACCATTATACCCGTGAAGAATTCACGATGAAGTTGAGATGATGCAAGGCTTTGTCAGAAGTAACAGTATATCGTCTATGATAGCACCTGTTTAGTATACCGTTTGAGATAGGTAACTTCTATAACCTTAACTCACAGATAAACTGACTATTTCCGTAATTACACATTGATACCGATTGTGTCCTGTCTAGGTACTTCACACAGAGCTCCCTTCTAGACAGGGTACCATACAGCTTCCTGCTGCTGGGCGGGGTCTACACAGCAATACAGCTCATCGCCGTCCTCTTCCTCATAGCCACGCCCACAGACACGCCCACACAGGTTAGTATCTCTTTTTATTCGCGACCAGTCACCTCTTTCCGCTTCTTACAAGAAGACTCGCATCTGCCGATCAATTTTAAAATAAGAATCTAAGTATTCGTCTATATGTATTCAACAGAATACATCCATAAGCGTTTTCCAATAGTTTGTATGTAAAACATCTGAATGATAGGTCAGAACTGTCTCAATACTCTGAAAAATAGGTCTTTGTAAATGGGAACTATGTCCTATTAAGAAAGCAGAGACCGATGTCTTAGGCCTATATTTTTAACTTTACCAGTAAGCGCGAACACGGAGCCAGAGCGCGAGATATTGTCGTGATGGGTTGGTTTTGTCCCGGACTGATCCGAGTGGTCGTGAAAACTGACCTTGGATTTTGACGTTCGTCAATCATCAGGGTGGAGGACTATCACATACCATGTTACATGTCGTTTGATTTTTCTGAAATTGAATTTGAATGGATCTTTAATATGTAACTGTTAAAGAGGGAGAAAACTCTGGTTAGACTTAGTTCCGTAGTATCAAGTGCTCTGTCCAACATCGGTATTTATGCCACAATCATGCACGTGCATTTGGACCAGATGCGTTGTTATCGGGATCATGGTACGTTTTGGGGAATGTTTTCTGTTTGGGTTGAAACATGGATTTTTGCAGTGGTTACTGATGATTATGTTTCCATGAACCAAACCAAAAAGATATTATTACGCAATGCCTAGTGGCGGACTACTTCGCTTGTATTGTATTATTACGCTAACTTTCCTATCGTTGGCTGCATTGTTGGTACAGTTAGTAGTCCGTAAAAATATTCCTGTTCATTTATCAGAGGTTTATACAGTACTGGAGTCAGTTCTTGTTATAAACGAAAATAACATGTTTGGTTATTTTTTAACATTTTTTAACATTAGTGTTTAACATTGTATTGTGACGACATGACCATACATGTACAGGAAGTCAACGTGGAGAAGAGCCCTGACCAAGAGAAGATGCCGGATGAAAAGATGAAAGAAGATCTCGACACCGTATCCCGCACAGACAGGTGACTTTGTTATCATGGACGATGGGCAGTCAAGTGTTGAATCAAGATGTAAATGTATTTTTGTTTGAAATTAATGGAAAATTCCGCAAGGCCTGCTGCCGGAGACGGCACTGGTCGAGGCCATCGACATAGCAGCGAGGTGAGTGAGTGAGTGAGTGAGTTTAGTGTTACGCCTCACTCAGCAATATTCCAGCTATATGGCGGCGGTCTGTAAATAATCGAGTCTGGACCAGACAATCCAGTGATCAACAGTATGTGCATCGATCTGCGCAATCGGGAACCGATGACATGTGTCAACCAAGTCAGCGAGCCTGACCACCTGATCCCGTTAGTCACCTCTTACGACAAGCATAGTCGCCTTTTGTGGCAAGCATGCATGGGTTGCTGAAGACCTATTCTACCCCGGATCTTCACGGCGAGGTTCTTCTGTGAGCACACTGTATTATAGAATATCAAAAACAATTTGCTTTAGCGTTACTTTAAAATATTAAGAGATGTGTCTTCATTAATTACACCCTACGTAAACATCTTGAGAACACGTTGTACAAGACAAAACAGGGACCCGCATCGACTGTCATTTTAGTCACGGAACTCAACACCGCATGTTATAGTATTCACAGAAATTATTGAGATATAATTGGCAAATATCTAATACATGTATGTATACTATAGAAGTTTTACTTAAACGAATATGTTGAGATATGATTCTCTTACAGTCTAAGTGTCTTTTCAGTACTTTGTGAGACCTCCTTGCCCTGCAATACACGACTGAATGTGCCTAGGTACACAACCGATCAAAGTCTGCAGGATATCGTGTGACAGCGTATCCCAACATCCGACCACTTCTTTCTTCATATCCTCAATATTTCTAAGTCCTTTTCGGTTATCTGTCCTTCATTAGACCCCACACATTCTCAAGAGGGTTACAATTTAGGCTGTAGCTGGGCCAGTCTAAAACATTTTCGTCCCACAACCACTGTTTTGTGTAGCCCGCAGTGTGTTTTGGGTCGTTATCATGCTAGAAAATCCCATTATCTTCATACAGTATTCGGGCCGTTGGAAGGAGGCGACCATTTAAGATGTGAACATATCGTCCCTTCATCACATTTACAGTGAAGATGTACAGCGTCACTCCACGTGATGATATCCCACCCCACATGTGAATTTTCGGGCTATTTTTTGGCGTTGCTAGATAGGTTTCACGGTATCCAAATTTTCACAGAGTTCGGAAAAAGCCAGACAGAACTTTCATCAGAACAGAAAACATAATCTCAATCTTGATTTTCGTGAGTCCTACACCAGTTTTAAACGCCTTTTTTTTTTGTACATTTTTCATCAATGGTGAGGGAATTCCGCGCCTTTTCACCCAGATAAGTCTTCGTAATTCTTGTATAAGGTTTCATTACATACCTGAGGACTTCATCTATTAATCATCACATTTCTGGTATTCTCATAGCTTTTAAATTATCCCCTATTCACAATCTGACCAAATCGCCGGCGATCCGTAGCACTGAACTCCCTTGGCCTCCCTGCCCCTGTCTTGTGCTCAATCTCAGCTCCTGACTGAATATTCTTCAACGTTCTTTATACTGTAGCATTAGGAATGTCATGTCTACCAGCTAAGTCTTTTGCATCAGTCACACCCCTTTCAAACTCATCTAGAACCAGCTTTCTTTTCTCTTCTATTGTCAAATCTGCCATATAAACACAGGAAGCCGTATGCTACACCAGGGGAGATAACTCTTGATGACGTAAGGTTCATGCTTAAGCCTACAAGAGTTGCCTCCCATATTAAGAACCTTACTACATAATGTAACACCTATTTTAAAATTCTACTATCAGTATTAGGAAACAAAGATTTTCTCACGATTTTCTGGGAAAACTGTAGTAGTTGTATTATGTAACTGCCAATAGAAATATTGACGTAATCCTGACTAACCAACCTTTGCATGGCCGTCCCCAGCGGTGGGACTGATGACGACGATGGCAACTACACTCCACGCCAGGTTCTTCGGTCAAAGCTGTTCTACTTGCTGTGGGTCATCTTCGGTTGTGTGGTCCTTGGCATTTTCTTTGTGATGAACTTCTACAAGGTAAGAGAGAGTGAGTGAGTGGATTTTTTCGCCGATTGGTACAGCATTGCAGCCAACAGGGCTTCGTAATCACAGGGCTGGGTGATTAATGCGTTCACGCTGAACACACGGGTTTGGTTCCCCACTATAGTATAGTATAATTTGTGAAGCCCATTTCTGGTGTCCAACCTCATCGATAATGCTGGAATGTTTGCTGAAAGCGTAAAACTAAACTTCACTCACTCATAATCCCAAGAACCTGAATATAGTGTTGACAATACCAGCGTCGTAATTAAGGTGAATTTTTAATTCGACCTCACGATCATCGAATCCTGATACGCCTAAAGGTCACAGGTTCGTACACCGACTAGCGGCTCCTTTGATTAAATGGCCATTGTGGAAACTGAATATAATTATTAAACCCAATTCAGGTACATAAAAAACAAAAGCACATTTAATTAAATTAGGTATTTTGTTTTTCAAACTATTTATTCTGGTGGCACTTTGGACAGCCATGCTACTTCTATTCCTTGGTAGGGTGGGATTCTCGGGGAAATACGTCACTATCCTTGCCCAGTAGCCAGTTATGGATTTGAACGCTGTATAAATGTCTAAACACTTATATGTTTGAAGGTGAATATTCGTGGGTGCGTGTGTGTGTGTGTGTGTGTGTGCGTGCGTGCGTGCGTGCGTGCTCGTGGGTGTTTATGATTAGTAGATTCTTTCAGAAAAAAATAGGGAATAAAATAACTTACAGCAAACAACAATATCAATTTCTAGGGAATATGCTTTAGCTTACTGCAGGCATGTTTCTTTTCAGACATTTTCCCAGACTTTCATCAAAGATGACCATTTTATAACTCTGGCTGGCTCTGTAGGATCGGCCTTTAATGCTCTGGGACGACCGTTCTGGGGAGCCGTGGGGGACAAGATAGGCTACAGGGTACGTCCAGGGGTGTTTAGCGGGAGGAGTCAAAGTTAAAATAGTTTACTTTTAGTTTGTAGTGAAGCCCATTTCTGGTGTCCCCCGCCGTGATGTTGCTGATATATTGCTAAAAGCGGCGTAAAACCAAACTCAGTCAGTTTAGTTCGTAGGTGTGTGCATATCCTGAAATGTGAACCGCCTAGTTTCTTTTTTTATTGAAAAATGAATAAAACAATTTGAGGTGGATAGCAACCGAACACGATCATGTTTGTATTTTCTGTAGAACGAAAATCGTCATTTGATAATGATGTGTACTTAAATTTTTACAAGATCTTATGTTGAAGTATTCTTGATTGCCAATAAGTTCACATGCAATATATCTTTTATCGGAAATGTCTCTTTGTACCCACTTAGTTTCAACGTTCAGAGATGCAAACCTCCCTTCAGTTTTTCATTTGGTACAAGCTTGTAGGATTGAGAACTATTCGTGCTAAAACAAAACTCTATTGTCTAGTATCAGCATATCAGTAGAAGGTTTGGTTCATATCCATATATCTTTAACAGAGACGTCTCTCTCTTCAATTAGTTTAGGATATCAGACAACGAGGGTCCATCAGTAGCACATAAAATCATCACACCACACAGCATACCTGGCCCAAGTCTCACGGTGAACGATCTCTTTCACACGTTCCTTTACACACAGGCAAACTGTAGCGCAAATGGGATTGCGCAACAAAGAGAAAATGACAAGTCTTCCTATATGCGCCCGAAGCGAGCAAAGGTTGGCAACGTACCCCTCTCTTCGGTTCAGAAAATATGTTTAATATCAAAATAAAATGTCGCCACCGTCAAAGGTAGACACTCATTTCCTCACAGGGTTGTGATTCAGATTTCCAACCTCATATCTACTTATAACTCAAGTAAAATATATTTTATTACAACAAACAGGTTTTGGGAATTGAAGGGCTTGAAAATGATATTTTAAATATATCATTGAACTTAATAGAAGCTAAACATTTATTCGATCAAGGCAGTGCGACGGAACATCGTTCATTCACGACTGACGTGTTTTCTAGTGACGGGTGACGGTGTAGTGTTGAAACACACTCTGGCAAAAACCTGTCAATTTTTGGGAAAGTCAACGGTTAAAAGTTGGGAAATCTAAAAGACAACCATCCCACGAATACATCTAGAAAAAGTTTTCTGTCAAGAAACTCAACAAGTTTGAAGATTAAACAACATTTTGTTCTGTGGAAGGCGTGTTACACTCTCGTCTTAGTAGAGTACATCAGTTCCAAGAAGGATAACTCTAGTCGGAATCCGAGTCTATGAAATGTGTCAATCTCTGCATCGGCTACTGGGACCAACCTCTCAGATTGATTAGGAATGCATGGATATAAAAAGTCATCTTGAAGAAGAACATTTAGCACTGATTCCGGTAAGAAAGGAGCTGTTTTCTGGTTCGATGGCATGGACGCCGTGTCCGACTTACTTGTTACACTTTCAGATAACATCTTTAGTCGGTATCTTGCTGTTTCTATTTCCCCGAATTCAGTTTCAACAACAAACAGGTTTTGGGAATTGAAGGGCTGTAAAATTCTTATCACTCTTCCTATTTGGTCACCGTCAACTTTAACTAGGTAAGTGACCTTGATCGGGGTTAGCCTAACGGCGGCCATGTTTGTTTACAAACAATGCAATCGATTGTTTGGTGTGTTTTTTTAAAGATTATATAATTTAAAAAGACTACTATTTATAACGCAGTTTTATTCCAAAATAATAACGTCTAATAAAAAGAATATTCATATTCTTTAACCTTAACGTTTTCTTTTTTAGATCTCGGAATGTGTGATTACTTTACTTAATGTCAATTTATCAATGAATCGATGAAACTTTATGAATGAACGTAGTGTGTGAAAGTAGTTCCGGCATCCAATGAAAATGTACAAATATACGATCAACCAATCAACGTCGAGAATCACTAAATTGCACACTGTGCAAATATCAAAAAGATATTACGCGGGATCGCCTCACCCGTATGGGTAATAACAAATGTTAATTAATTATTCCAGGCATAATAATTTTGTTGTATTTTAAAGCGATTTTATGATGTACTATTTCCATAGCGTAGTTATGTTATTACCGCTGGAGAAGTTAGGTTTAATACGCGCATGAATAGGAATCAGCTGTTTAAGGTCACAAGTCCTGTCTCCGGGTGGTTTATATTTCGTGGTTCTTCCTTTTAAATTACATTATGGGTAATAAATAGAATAACCAACTCGGTACGAGTGATTACGGGAAATATACCCTCGTTAAAATAATGTTCAGTGCCTCGCCAAGGCTCGGCACTGTGAACATTATTTCAACTCGGGCATATTTCCCGTAATCACTCGTACCTCGTTGGTTATTCTCTAATTAATATGATAAAAATGATATTTTAAATATATCATTGAACTTAATAGAAGCTAAACATTTATTCGATCAAGGCAGTGCGACGGAACATCGTTCATTCACGACTGACGTGTTTTCTAGTGACGGGTGATGGTGTAGTGTTGAAACACACTCTGGCAAAAACCTGTCAATTTTTGGGAAAGTCAACGGTTAAAAGTTGGGAAATCTAAAAGACAACCATCCCACGAATACATCTAGAAAAAGTTTTCTGTCAAGAAACTCAACAAGTTTGAAGATTAAACAACATTTTGTTCTGTGGAAGGCGTGTTACACTCTCGTCTTAGTAGAGTACATCAGTTCCAAGAAGGATAACTCTAGTCGGAATCCGAGTCTATGAAATGTGTCCTCCTATATGCGCGCGAAGTGAGCAAAGGTTGGCAACGTACTTCCCTCGCTTCGGTTAAAAAAATATGTTTAATATCAAAATAAAATATCGCCACCGTCAAAGGTAGACACTCATTTCCTCACAGGGTTGTGATTCAGATTTCCAACCTCATATCTACTAATAACTCACGTAAAATATATTTTATTCTATAGTTTAAGCGCCACTCCTGGCATGTCAAATCGTTCTTCGCCTCCATTACCCCTTCCGGCTTCCAGTTCAACGTAGTGAAGGAACAGGGGAGTTAAATCTAAATATACTTGTTGAATCACATATCCGCCATTTGGAATACTTGCAGAGTTACCTCCCTTGCTTTCATTCACCCGCTTCGCCAGAAGTGTTTTTTGTAGAATAATGTTACGAAATTTCTAACAATAATGACCGCAGATAAGTAATATCTCCAACAATGTAATGGTAAAATTAGGCAATATGCTTATTCTTGTTCCTTCACTTCGTTGAGTGAACCGAATTATCGAACCGAAGCGAGGGAAGCACGTTGCCAACCTTTGCTCGCTTCGCTCTCATATGGTAAGACTGGTCACTATTCTCTCTGTTGTGCAACCCTATTTGCGCTGCACTTTGCCTGTGCGTTACATTACATACAAATAAACGGATAGAATGACTTCATGCAGTGTAGTCATAAATCTGTGGCGTCTGGTAAAAGGCCTTGCGGTCAAACAGCGCTGTGTCGAAGCTGAAGGGACCCACGTTAATACTTCGAGTTATGCGACGCTCGACATTTTGATGTCGAAATAAGGAATACGCTGGGGCCAAGCTTTTACTTCGATACAAAACTTGGACACAACAATGTTTGACATAGAAACGTAGAATGGCATTTGCACCCATGAAATATTTTGCAATTACTATCACTTACCAACTTCTAAAAATGTCAAAAACTCAACACTGTTTTGTAACTGATCAGAATAAGAACGAATAACTTATTTCATCAGGGAATGACCTAATTCGTGTGTTCTTTCGCATTCCTACAAATCTGCTAATTATTGATGAATGATTTATGTTAATCACCCAAATAACTCTCACACAGGAAACACTCACCATTGTCATCGGAGTGTTTGGAACAGCAGGAGCGACCTTCACCTTGTGTGAATATGGCGGGAAAGTGATGCTGATGATCTGGCTGTGCCTGATCTACGGGACATTCTCAGGATTCTACGCCCTGATGCCTTCTCTTACCGTCTCGCTGTATGGTCAGAAGTACTACAGCGTCAACTACGGCCTGCTCTACACCAGCATGGTGAGTCTACATCAACTGCCTACTCTTCCTTGTCATTTATAGGAAGACTAGCAGCCATACACTGGTTCATCCAAATCCCATCTGCGTTTAGACGTTGTCAAACTGTCTGCCTCACACATTTTGATAGATAAACAAACATGTTTTTGCTCAAAGTTTCACTTTAGAATATTCAGTTGTGCGCAAGCAGCTCAAACGATATTCAATCTCCAAACAGAGACAAAGACCATAACTTATAATTTTCGTAAATAAAACAGTGACCACTCACATCGACTATTTCTTCAATAACATGCAAATAAGAAAAACCGGAACCTGTACAGAGAAGTGTTTTGACTGAACAAAAGGGATACTAGAACAATCTTTGTTTCGTTAAATGAATATGCACTACAGATTTATGTGATTTTTCAGTAGTGACCGTGGATGTTCAATAAAACATAGGCGGATCCAGAGGGTGGGGGGGTGTTTGCAGGAGTGCGCCCCTTTTTTGGGGTGGTGAAAGTTTGTTAATTGACCATTGAAACTTGGGTGAAAATGAAGTGTGTATCAAAAAGCTGTATCCGCCCCTGAATATAATATACACCGCGAGCACCACAAGTACATATGTAATATGAAGTGACAAAAATCTACTGTTGTAATGTTCAACAGTGACAACCTGTGTGTGTACAATCGAATTTCTGACCTCTCTGTCGCACTCAGTCCACAAACGGTTCTGCGCTTGGATTGTCGTGAGCCCAGGTTTTGACTTGCGGTAGTCGTTAAAGTCAGGGATCAATGCAGAGCAAGCTCAACCCTGGGACAATTCTTGTCAGAGCTGATATACAACAAATGACAGCTTGAAGAAAAACCAAGTTCTATAGATAGTCAACTTTTTTATAGTAATGAGTGCGACGTTTCGATGTAGGTACTAACACCGTTATCAAGCAAGTGATGTTACACGTTAACTGCACCTTCTGACAGATGTATTTGTTACTTGCATAATGTAACGGTGTAGTACTTACACCGAAACGTTGCACCCATTGCAAGAAAGAAGTTGACTATCCATAGAACTTGGCTTTCCTTCATCTTTACAACTTCTAAATGCCTCTAAAAGAACAAATGACAGCTTCACTGTGAGTGACTGCTCTGTTGAGAACTATTTCCAATATTTCACAATTGCAGGCACAACAAACTGTATCGTCTTGCCAAATGTGGTTCTGCTGAGTATGATATCGTGAGGGCTTCTGAGATTTGATCGAAAAATATTGTCCGAGAAAAAATCAGAAAAATCGACATTTGGCCACAAAATAAACATTATTCCTTTCTGTTCCAGATTGTAGTTCAGCTGGCAGGTGCGCTCCTGACGTCACAGCTGAAATCCGCTATTGGATGGCAAGGGATACTGTACATAGGAGCCGGAGGGATCGTGTTCAGTACGTACATAAATATAGTTACAGTGGATTTAGGGATTAAGGGGATAAGTTTTGTTTTTGTTTTTGTAACGTCGCATTCAGCAACATCCCAGCTATATGACCGCGGTCTGTAAATAATCGAGTCGAGATCAGATAATCCTGTGACTACGATTGACATCGATCTACGCAATTGGGATACGAGGACATGTGTCAACAAAGTCAGCGAGCCTGACCACCCGATCCCGTTAGTCGCCTCTTACGACAAGCATGGGTCGCTGAAGACCAATTTGGATCCTGATATTCACGGGTGGGGGATTTTGGTGGGAGGGCCGCCGCAATGTTACGTGGTCACGTGCTGGAATCCAATGTCCTTCACCCAATCCTTCGTCCGAATCCAAGTTGTTTTGTCAAATTGTCTACGGCCTTCGGTCATAGTCCGATAACATTTTCAAATGACCGACTACTTTTTTACTAATTAGGACACTCGGGCCGATCGATAATTTCGATGTTATTTTCACATATTGGACCAAATAAATTACGAACATTATCATTTACGAATTCATCAAAAACTAACCACGAAATCTTGATCATGTTTCTGCGGCGTGTATGTATTTACGCATCCATTTTTATCACACTAAGCTACCAAATGTACATGTAATGGATTGCGCGATTGGCTGCTATTTTAAGTATTGGACAACCAGAAACGGGCTTTCCCGACCCCACCCGCATGTAACAATGTTTCAAGGAAATCAATAAATAAATTGAATGAACTAATGAATAAAATCAACAATAGCATTCATAAAAGATGTCAAACGTACATATAAAACTACTATTTCCATCTTTTTGTGCGATCATGCAATGCGAGTCAAGTCACTGACAAGTGACATCTCGGCTTTCGTCGCCTCAATCTTCACGCTTGGACACGATGTTTAATGCGAAAATATATGCATGAAGCATTTTTGTCACAGGTCATAACCCAGCACGATACGTCCAGTAAGTTCCATTATTTACGTATACATAGCGATTTCGTGCTTAATATGTTCTGAATAGCATTATTTTACTCAAAACTTTCGTCTAAATATAAAAGTTTTCGTTTACGAGGAGTGTATCCATTGCCGTAATATGATTGGCTGCCTCATGTCACGTGTCTGATTTTGACCAATCACGACTCTTATAGCAAACTGTGGCGAAAAAGCGTCATTAGAAACCAATCTTTATCCAATAAAACCGCTTCTTACAACTGTGAAAGTACTCTCAGCAAGGGTATAGTGATATTGTTGATGTTCAGAGCTTTCGAACGATACCCGCCATCAAACGATTCGCCTCGCATGTTATTTATACGAAGCTTCGAAAACGGAGGTATTTTCCGTTGTTGTGTCATGTTACCGAGCGGAAAGCCACTGATATCGGGAAATAGGCGACCATACATATTATTTAAGAAATCTTTATAATATAATATAAAGATTTCTGAAATAATATGTATGGTCGCCTATAAAGATTTCGTAAATAATATGTATGGTCGCCTATTTCCCGATATCAGTGGCTTTTTATAATTTTCTGATTACGTAAAAATGAAAATATAAAAGAAAAAGGCACGGGGATGTTATGACATGTCACAAATGGAAAAAAATCGCTATAGTTTTTGCTTCTTTTGTGATATTTCTTGACATTATAAATGCTTGCATTTTCATTAAAAACTCAATTTATTTAAGTTGTAGATGTATTATTTGAAAAATGTTAGAAAAATAAATTTTTTATTTATCAACAGTGGGATTAGATCTTTTAACTTTGCTGTATATCTAGAATCCAAGTTGCAACATTAAATGTCATTAACAATTTAGTTATATGATGGCATTGGGATTTAAAAAATGTCAAAAAGAGCTTTAGGTCAATGGCCTATCGCCAGACACCCACTTAGGACATTTGTCCTACAGATTTTTATAGGCTTCAAAATTATTTTGCAAAAAAACCAAAAAAAAACCCTACCTACCTACCCTAGTTCTAAAATGTAGGAAATCGGAACCATAACATTTATTTTTTTGGGCCTAAATTACAAAAAAAGGATTGATGAAAACTGACAGAACCGCTACGTTTTGACAAAAGGACGACGCGTCATCAAAACTTTAACACTACTGACGTTACGTCTGTTCAATTTACCCCAGGGCCGAAGACCCGGGTTCGATTCCCCACATGGGTGCAATGTGTGAAAACACTTTCTGTTGTCCCCCGCAATGATATTGCTGGAATATTGTTAAAAGCGGCGTAAAACTATACTCACTCACTCACTCACTCACTCACTCACTCCTCCTACATGAAGCTGACACCCCGTGACTTTGTACTCCTAACACATACTGTTTAGCATAAACAAGTCACTTAACCGTAGGAATAGGAAACAATATATTGCAGAAATAATTGCCCATTTTTTCATAATGGTATAAATTGATTTCTCGCAACTATTTCAGCATTTAGATCCATTGAAATCCAATACTATTTCATTGTTGCAATCATAGGGCGTTGTACTTTACAAATAACATTTTAATTTGGTATTGTTCTTGTTCGTTTCTGCAGGTTTCTGTTTGTGTTGTGGAATGCTTGTACAGTACCGACTGGCCAAGAGGAAGGAGAAAAAGTTCGGAAACAAACACGTGGAGAACTCGGTTGATACCCGTCTGTAAAATGTGAAACGTAACAACAGTCGGAAAGAAATATAACGACCCGAGAATAGCGGTTTATCACAACACATACAGTTCATGGAACAGAGTTAAAACACATGTACATAAATAGATTTCATATTTCATACTGTCCGATTAACCAATAAAACATGTCTGTTTATGTCAGGTGTCTGTTCTTATTAAAGTGGTTGTGAAGAAAGTGACAGGTTATATGACTGACATTGATAAATATTGACGGGAAATTTCTGATACAGTGCTACTTCCGAACCCTTAATTAATGAACTTACACTCTCCCAGTGTGTTAACACAGTCTGAAATTCGACCGATTAGCACAGAACCACTCAAGCATGATTCGACGGATCGGCACTGCTGACCGCTCAAAATTTCGACGGATTAGGCCGTAATCATACTGACTGACTGACTGAGTTTGGTTTTACGCCGCTTTTAGCAATATTCCAGCAACATCACGGCGGGGGAAACCAGAAATGGGCTTCACACATTGTACCCATATGGGGATTCGAACCCGGGTCTTCGGCGTGACGGGCCAACGCTTTAACCACTAGGCTACCCCCCCGGCCCCCGTAATCCTACATATATAGGGAGGATATTGTGGGGTAGCCAAGTGGTTAAAGCGTCCGCTCGTCACGATGGTCACATATATAACGTATATACCGGTCCCATTCTGTTATTCGGGCAATTTCACAATCTCTCTTATCAGGAACTTCCCACAGACTTTCTTTCGCACATGCATGTGATTTGATTGGACGTTTGTTTTAGCGTCGTTTCATTGCAATCAGACATTTGCCATTTAAACTGCTGGTGAAAACAATTATGTATTAAATCATGAGACATGTCACCGTGTATGAACTGTCCCTAAACCTGAAGTATTCTACGAACCATATGGCTAAAAGGAATGATCGTCTATTTTATGACAAACAATACAACCATGGATGCTGCTTGCTGACCATGTTTACCTCTGTTATAGTGACTAATTCAGGACAGCCATCGTCCAAATATTTAAAAAGTCCAAAACTATGTACTCAAGACATGTGAGACTTTATTGTATATATATATATATATGACGCTAAGCTGTATTTTTAATCACTACTGTACATCCTTATCACTACCGCATTGATAACTGACTTGTCAGCCCATTAATTATTGTATAAGACATTTATAACCTTCATTGGTAATCCCGCTTGGCCGTGTCTGCCATCACATCAACTGGTCAAGGAAGTGCTATTGTTTTTCTGTCTGTCCATTGATGAGTCGTCGCCTGTCCATTGTTGTCAAAAACTGTACATATATACTTAGTATGCTCACATCTAGACAAGAAGGAGTACGAGTTCGGTATTTGGACTGTCGGTTGGGACGACCACGAGCAGGATAATGCCGCTCGTATAGGAAACGCCCTGGGGTTGAGCAGGTACTCCGCTCATCTCGCTCATGTCGTGTGTATTTGTTTGTCATGTACTAAAGACGTTTGAATTCAACTATGCCTTCGTCTTCATCAACGCACACTTCATCTTAATTATGAGCTAATTCCCCAGTCGACGCATATATACCACGCGTTGACACCTCTTTACAACAATGGATGCCACCCCAGTTGTTTGAATTCTAAGTGTTATTTGATAGCGTTCGAATGGAGGAAGTTACTGTCAGCTTACCTTTTTAATTCTAATGGTATAGGACAGTGTTTGCATTCTGCTCATGGGCTGTCCGTTTCAAGTAGTCAATAAATACAGGTAGTCTATAAATTGCAAAGGTCGAAGCCAGGTCAGTTTGTATCAGTGTCAACAGATGGAGGCGGCCTCTTGTATGTAAGTTACTTACTTGTTGCCTTGTCGTTTTGCAATGTCATTGAGGCAGATTTAAATAGTTTTAACATAAATCTTCATCACTTGAGTACAATAACTGATAACTACAGTATTTCACCCTAAAAGAGATATTTATATATTGTCTACTGGTGTACGTGTTCTGTATGTATAGGCGTACAGCAGCTGTAACTGGTATATCTGGGTACGATATCTGTGGTGTTTCACGTGTAACTGATGTATGTACGTGTAACTGTATGTATAGGCGTACTGTGATGTATGTACGTGTAACTGTATGTATAGGCGTACTGTGATGTATGTACGTGTAACTGTATGTATAGGCGTACTGTGATGTATGTACGTGTAACTGTATGTATAGGCGTACTGTGATGTATGTACGTGTTACTGTATGTATAGGCGTACTGTGATGTATGTACGTGTTACTGTATGTATAGGCGTACTGTGATGTATGTACGTGTTACTGTATGTATAGGCGTACTGTGTATAGGCGTACTGTGATGTATGTACGTGTTACTGTATGTATAGTCGTACTGGCGTATGTATGTACGTGTAACTGTATGTATAGGCGTACTGTGATGTATGTACGTGTAACTGTATGTATAGGTGTACTGGCGTATGTATGTTCTACGTTTGCCTGTAGGTATTTAGGTAGATCTGCGTGCATACATGTGCGTGGATGGGTGTTTGTGTACGCACGTGTGCCTGTATAAATGGATGGATGGTTGAATCAACTAAAGGTTTCTCCAAACTATTGTCCTTATTCAGTTACTGTTTCCAAATTTCATGGTATTACTTCATGACCATAGTGCTTGGATTACACCAGAATGTTTGACAGGTCTGAATTGAACTTGAAAATCACAGAGAGAAAAACTAATTCTGGTTTCCATTGTTTCTGAAGTGTTACAAAACTATAAGCACACTTGACAACGTAGGTTTGAAAACTTGTTTAATGGATAACCTCTTCATTTTATTCTTTAACACGACGTTTCAGAGCTAATGCTTCCTCCTTCATCAGGTTTATGAGAATGGAATACGTCAATAACACAACCACTATATGATTCCACGTTGCCTCTAATTAGTGTAACGTTTAACCTGGGGATTTATGAACCTATAATTTGGCATGCATTCCAGAAAATGGAGTTTAAGTGCCGAGAGTCCTGAGTTGATACACAAATGAAGTGGTATTTTAGCGTGTTGAATCAAAAGTGCCGGTTTAATCGAGCGTAAACTCGTTTTGATGAATGTTGTTTGGGGTTACCACAGCTAGATTGTCTAGATAATCTTAACAAGCGTCTGTACAGTGTTTTGGAGCAAGTGCTAATTCGTCAATTAGGAGATAAACCTTTTTGAGACTGGAGACCGAATATAGAACTCCCCAATTACGGTGACTCATACACCGAATATCGAACTCTCCAGTTACGGTGTCACATATACCGAATATGGAACTCTCCAGTTACAGTGTCACATGTACCGAATATAGAACTCCGCAGTTACAGTGTCACATATACCGAATACAGAACTCCCCAGTTACAGTGACACATATACCGAATATAGAACTCCCTAGTTACGGTGTCACATATACCGAATATAGAACTCCCTAGTTACAGTGTCACATGTACCGAATATAGAACACCGCAGTTACGGTGTCACATATACCGAATCCAGAACTCCCCAGTTACAGTGACATATATACCGAATCCAGAGCTCCCCAGTCACAGTGACACATATACCGAATATAGAACTCTCCAGTTACGATGTCACATATACCAAATATAGATTTCCGCAGTTACGGCGTCACATATACCGAATATAGAACTCCCCAGTTTCGGTGACACATATACCGAATATAGAACTCTCCAGTTACGGGGACACATATACCGAATATAGAACTCCCCAGTTACAGTGTCACATATACCGAATATCGAACTCCCCAGTTACGGTGACACATATACCGAATATAGAACTCTCCAGTTACAGTGTCACATATACCAAATATAGAACTCCGCAGTTACGGTGTCACATATACCGAATATAGAACTCCAGTTACAGTGTCACATATACCGAATATAGAACTCCCTAGTTACAGTGTCACATATACCAAATATAGAACTCTCCAGTTACGGTGCCACATATACCGAATATAGAACTCTCCCGTTACAGTGTCACATATACCGAATATAGAACTCTTCAGTTACGGTGTCACATATACCGAATATAGAGCTCTCCAGTTTCGGTGTCACATATACCAAATATAGATTTCCGCAGTTAAGGTGTCACATATACCGAATATAGAACTCTTCAGTTACGGTGTCACATATACCGAATATAGAACTCTCCAGTTACAGTGTCACATATTCCGAATATAGAACTCCCCAGTTACGGTGTCACATATACCGAATATAGAGCTCCCCAGTTACGGTGTCACATATACCGAATATAGAACTCCCCAGTTACAGTGACACATATACCGAATATGGATCTCCCCAGTTACAGTGTCACATATACCAAACAACTATCTCTCCAGCCCGAGAATTGACATGACAATAAAAAAGGGTTCAAAATACATACTACCCAAAGAACGTGTGATCGATACAGCTATCGTTAAAGAGGTTGGGGGTAAAAACTGAAAATTGGCAATGAGTAGTCGATATCGGGCATGACCAACCCTGTTGACCAGACGTGCCGGACTTTCCTTGAATTCTTCTGGTGAGGTGACAATGACTTCTCAACTTATGTTGTTCCACCAATACGAGAGAGTAGATCAGAGTTCCATGAAAGTGGTGTTTGGATTTGAAGTTGACGAACACGTCTGCCAATGATGTCTTAGACATGCAGACGATATCGTCTGGCTATGTACTCTTAAACTGGTCGCCTGTTCCAATAGGCCCCTTACCCGAGAGCCAGTTAGAAATCAATTTCTTTATGCCATGGAAAAGAATTCGATACCTGACTTGAACCTTTGACCATTAATAACCAATATTATGTTCATGGTGGAGATCTTGTTTCGGCAGCTTCCGACTGCATATTGTTATCCAATATCTACTGGTAACATGAGTGATTTTATGTAATTGAATTTAGAGTTTGGAATGAAATATACTCCATTTGTTTTGATGTTCTTACATATTAGACACTGAGACCTGGAAAGTATGTCCGAGATGGTGACGAACATCCTGTCGCGCCTGCGCACATTGCCTGTCCGCGGTATGCTGACTGTGATTGGCGGGTTCCTAATTCATAGCACCCTCAGCACCGGATACATCTTTGGTAAGTTAATTGTGCAGAGAACAAGTATTCCTTTCACCGTGACTCCACATATTGTGTCATG